TTCCAGGACAGGCTCCAAAACCACAGAGAAACCCTGTCTCAAAAAAAAAGAAAAAAGAAAAAAAAAAAAAAAAACAGTCCAGACTCCAAGTGCTTTCACTTTGTTTGGCTGCCTCAGTTAGTAGGTAAGGAAAAAGCAGGAAGTCAAAGATTCTGCTCCCTCCCGAAAGCAAGGTGATGGCTGGTGTGTGCCCAGCCTGATGACTGATTCCCATATGTTAAGAGAAGGCAAATGGTTTTTCCAGAATACCATGCTTAGGGTGGTCAGCAGGTAAAGGCATCTGCTGCCAAGCCTTCCAGCCTGAGTGGAGGAGAGAACTGCTTCTGCCTTTTGTCCGCTGACTCCCACATTCATGCTGTGGGGGAAGCACATGTGCACACATGCACTCACGCAGGTGCACACACACAAAATAAGAATATGATCAAGTCTTTGAGGAAGAACCTTTCTGGAGTTGGTAGTCTTGCCAATCCCCTGTGCTTATTGTATTTAGTCCTTTAATTGGGGTTATAAATGAGAAAGGCCAAAGTTTCTCAACTGGCTAATTGCATACATACTGAAACTTTGTTAGTTCCACAGACGTTAGGTTCTAATAATTGATTTTGCCTCGTTTGTTTTCTTCTGGCCCCTTTGAAACACATTTTGTTCCTTCTTTATGAGACGCTGTGGAGAAAAAGTCGTCCTATGAACTCTGTTGTTATAGATGTTCTTACTGTAGTCATGTCTGCTGTGAGATAGTGTCTTCTATGTAGAACACGGAAGATACACCCCCAAAATCTCAGCAATATGGTTGTCTGAACAAGCCTTAATAAATGGACACCACCAATTGAATTGCCAACACGAAAGGAGGAGTTCTCACAGGACTTTTTTCTAGAAGAATAAAAACTACAAGCAATTGAAGACTATGTGGAGAGGGAGAATCGGTCCTTTCTGGGAACCAGCCTGTAAATTAGCTGATCCAGAGAGGTCAGCCCTAAGCACTTGAGAACACTGAATGACTTCAGAAGGTTTATTTATAAATCTACACACATATAACGGAAAGATAAGAGGCCATAGATTTGAGAAATTGGGGTGCATATGAGAGGGAAGAGGAGAAGAGGAAGAATGACATATACTTGTATATGAAATTCTCAATAAATAACTTTAAAAGGAAAGATAAATGTTCAAAAGAAAAAGGTCAAATTAATACGACTTTCATTCCTCAGTATTCTAGTAGGGTCAGGAACAGGCTTTTGCCTCTGTATCCTTTTTCTCTCATCCAGAAGATATACTTCAGTTAACATTGGCAGGCTGAAAAATCCTGTAAGCATCTCTAGAGTCTGGCAAAGATGTGTCTCCAGCGTCAGTTCCCAACTGTTCGCAGTGTTTCTCTGGCATAATGAAGCCTTTGGCCATCACTGCTACTTTGAAAATCAAAGCTTTTTGGTCTCTAATGGAATGTTTATAAAAATGCACCAATTTGAAATTTGCTCAGGAAAAGGAAGTAATGTTAAATGATACTTAGAAATCCCTCTTGCCTTGGCATTGCTTCATTTAATGTTATGTACTCTGGAAATATCGGGAATTAGTAGGAATAAAAGAGTATTAAAACCAAAAAATAAATAAGCCCTTGTGTCCGTTGTCTTATTTTGTGGAAGCATGCCATTATATGTGCTGCTTCGTTGTTCTTTCTGTGTGATAGCTTACCTTTGCCAAATTCAATAAAAGTGTGCTGGAATCACTAAACTTTCCTGACCCCTGGGTCACACTCATCTCGTCTGCGTGTTTTACTCAGGTGAAAGGAACACTCTCTGGATGCAGCTGTAAGAATGCTAAGCCTATAATTAAAAAGCTGTGCTGATAAAGTCCACAATAAAAGGCGACATGCCACTCCATTGCTTTCTGTGTTGCAATAAAAAAGAATTCTTCTAAGAGTCTAGTAGTAAATGTAGACCAAGAGGTCCCTTGTCCCCTGGCACATCAAAGCCAAGAGACAAATCAGTTCCTGTGGTTTTGACTATACATTTCTGTTAGTTTGCCCGTTAGCATTCTTAAGAAATTCCCATCACTCAGAATTATGTTTGCAAATTGTTAAAATGGAACTTTGGGGTTCTGAAATCTTTGACCTTTTAGAAAACAGCCTAACTTTTTCAATGAGTTGTGCTTTGCCTGTCCTCTTTTCTTTCTTTTTTTTTTTTGGGGGGGGGGGGGGGTGGGGTTTCTTGTGAGTCTTTTTTAAACTTTTTATTCTTTTTGTCTTTCAAATCATGCATCCCAATCCCACCCATCTCCTGTCTCCTTGCATCCATCCTCTGCCCCTACAACCCCCTCCCCAATAAAATAAAATTTAAGAGAAAAATCGGGGGAGGGGGAAAAAGAAAGAAAGGGAAAATCTCATCATGGAAACTGCAGTAAGTCGCACAGTAAACCCCTTTATGCACACATCTTTACATGCAGGCCTTGATGGTTTGAGACCCCTCATCTATGTCATAGACGCTGGATCCTCCCTGGTACTCTTCCTGGACATCAACTCATAGCCCTGGTACTGGGCCTGGGCAGTTGCAGGGTTGGTCAGCCGCCAGCTCTCCCCTGTCTGCACCACCACCATGGTGAGCTCTCCAGCATTGCCCTGGCTAGTTCATCCCTTGCAGCAGTGAGCTAGTTCTCCTCCTTTCACGTGCCTGTCCTTGATATACGTTCAGATGGGGCACTTCGGCTTTTCCTCTCCAAAATACAATACAAACAATATGACTAGGACTATCACTGACTTCATCTCAGCATCTTTGTACTTCTTTTAGAAATATAACTAAGTGGAGGTGGGGAGATGACTCAGTGCCTCTCACTGCACAAGCATGGGCATCTGAGTGTGGATTCCCGGCACACATCACAAGCTGTGCGTGCACATATACAGCTGTTGGAAGCGGGACAAGAGGACCACTGGAGCTTGTTGACAGTCTAGCGAGAATATAGCATGTTCTGGGTCTCAGCCAGTATGGCAGAAAGGGAGAGGGGGCACTCGGCACATGCACATATACGTGTCTGTACTGCACACCCATCCATTTGGGAGCATTCCTTCCTTGTTACTAGTTCCCAGTGGCATCCTCTGGTAGCATCTGATGTGCTTTCTAGTGGCATTATTTGATTTTAAATCATCTGGTCATTTTTATGTGAGGATCTCTGTGTTACAAAGTCTGTACTTAAAAGTCAGTCTCTGTGAGTAAATGTAAGGCTGTCACTTTTGCTCTTTGCATTAAATAAACATGCTACACGGTTTTTCCATTTAAAACCATGCAGGTTGGTTATGCCAGAGTGGTTTTAATCAGGAACTCACAACATGTTTGCAGAACGTACTCCAAAGTCTTTCTAAAGCTCTCTTGCACATCTCCAGCTCTGCCCTGCACTATATTTAGAAGCCAAAATATTTTTTTAACAAAGAAAATCTTCTGTTGTTGCTTAACCAAATGCTCATAGTAGCAAACTTTGTCTAAAGACAAAGAGGTCCGCTCCTTTAGTTTTTGTTTTTATTATGTCTCTTGCTTTTGTCTTGCATTTTAGAAGTTGAAGGCAATGCGCTCTGGGAGTTGAGTTAATTGCAGTGAGCAGATCAATATTCAGCAATCGCGTCTCTTAAAGCCCTTTCTATCCTGAGATGTGATGATTCTATATTTACCTTTGCTCTTGCTTTTTTTCTGTCAGTAGCCAGAGAACAGAGATGTCAGTGCTGTGCAGGAGAGAAGGTGGGCCAGGGCTTAGGAGATAGGTGACAGGCACTGCATGGCTGTGCAGAGCGGGTGGCTGACTACAAGATACAATCGTTCTTGGCTCCTTGTGCTTTTTCATACGACTTAGTGCAGATACATTTTCTTTGTTGTAATTAGTTTTTAACTAGGAAGAAAGGGAAGAAAAAGACAGCAGTTTTTAGAAGATACCTTCCTACAGACAGACAGCTCCCAGATTCTTGCAGGTGGGTTAGATGGAAGTTGTCAAGAAGAAGCTGAAAGAAGTTAAGGATTTTTCGTGGTCTCATGTGCAGGCAGTTTTATGTGCGAGTCCTCCCCCTCATCAGGTAGAATTAATCTTGGCATTTCATGTGTTTCTCAACTGGAGTAGTCTGTGTCTCCAGCCCCAGATGTACCCCAACCTGTACTAGCTGCTAAAATTGTTTTTTCAACGCAACCCAGTACCCATCCTTGACGGAATAATGGGAAATAGATAAAACTGGGTAAAGAGTGAATGTTTGATGTTCTTTCTAGTAATTCTCAAATATTCCCTTTCAGAAAGTATAAAAAATGTTTTTATGCATAGTATATTGGAACCACAAGTACTGACTTTGTATTTCAAAGTTGGAAGAAATGAGATTGATGTCCTGTACAGTTGTAAAATGCCTAAAATAAGGAGAGCTGAAATGAATTAAAGCCTAGTGTTGAGAAAGGGCAGGAAAAAGCTTCATATCAACAGTGACTGTAATTGAAAGGGTCCAAATAAGTATTTAAAACCTCCCCTCCTGAGACAGCTAGGATTTCTGAATTTCAAATTGACATTTTATGTTTGACAAGGTGACATTGTATAAGAAATGTATTGTAAAACACTGCTGTACGATAGGAAAATGATTGAATGTAAATATTTCAAGATGTGGACCACTGTTCAAATGTTATCATAAATCTTTGCCATTGTTTTAGGGGATAACTCTTCATGCATATGTGAGCTGGATTGATAGCTAGCTCTTGGAAAGGAAATCATCGGCAGGTTTCTGCCTTTGTCTCAAATGCTAGTCTGACTTTACCACTAAAATGTCATATTAGACTTCTGTTCTGTGCTTGATACTGCGCATTATGTAAGTGCAATCACTTTTTGGAGGTGTTACACTGGCATTGCCTTTGTCCTGTTCAGTTCTGAATACATGATGACTACACTGTTACATGACTGGAACTCACACTGTCATGTGGGCTGGGACAGTTTGTATTTAAATTTTGCATTGAAAACAACCCGAGCTATGTCATTAACCATCCTTCTCTTCTTTTCAGGTTTGGAAGGTTTACAGTTGCCGCTCTTCAGTCCAAAGTAGAACAGTATGAACGAGAAACCAATCGCCTCAAGAAAGCTCTAGAACGAAGTGATAAATATATAGAGGAACTAGAATCGCAAGTAACACAACTGAAACACTCAGATGAGGTCAAGGAAGATATGGATGGCCTTTGTCAGAGGGCACCCTCTGCAGATGGCAAGGGGCCCAAAGGCAACGATGAGCTTGTAGCATCAAAGAATCAGGGTGACGGAGCCAGGAAGCAGGCTGGCCCAGCCACCTCCACCTCAGCTTCTCACCTAACAACATCTAGCTGCAGACTCGCTGACACCAGTTCTGCCAGGCAGGAAAGCACCAGCAAGACTGAACCAAACTGTCCCAAGAGCAAAGACAGATACCCCAAGCCCACGGAAATGCTGCTGGCTATGCGAGAGACACCGATGGATGCTTATTTGGAAGGAGAGTGGGGCAGTAAGCCAAGTGACTGTGCACCATACAAAGAGGAAGAGCTTTATGATCTCCAGGCTCCTTGCACTCCTTTGTCCCTTAGCTGCCTTCAGCTAAATACTCCAGAAAACAGAGAGAACTCTGTAATCAAGGCAGGGAGTTCCAAAAAGCATGCAAACCATCTGAGAAAACTGGTATTTGATGATTTTTGTGACTCTCCAAATGCCTGCAATAACAACTCTTCCGAGGACGATGTAGGTAAAAGTGAAACTGAAAAGAAGTCAGACTGTTTTGTTTCCCCAAAGACAGGATTTTGGGATTGTTGCTCTACAAGCTATGCCCAGAGCTTGGAGTTTGACAGCTCAGAGCGGAACACGATAGCAAATTCTGTTGGGGAAATCCCTTCAAAATTGAGTGAGAGGTCAGGATCATGCATGTCCAAGAGACTAAATTGTATTCGCTCTCTCGAAATGAACCGGACAAGAACATCCAGTGAAGCGTCCATGGATGCCGCTTATCTGGACAAAATCTCCGAGCTGGATTCCATGATGTCAGAGTCTGACAACAGCAAGAGCCCTTGTAGTAACGGTTTTAAATCAGTGGAGCTGGAGGGCTCCTCAAAGTCACCTCGAGGCAGTGAGTTTCTCGAGGAACCTGACAAGTTGGAAGAAGGACCTAAACTGAATCTTTCCAAAAATGCTCTCACTACTGATCAGTTAGAAAATGGCAGTGAGTGGAAGCCGTCTTCTTTCTTTCTCCTCTCTCCATCTGACCAAGAGATGAGTGAAGATTTTTCTCTGCACCCCACTTCTAATTCAGGAGCTGGTGAAGTCAAACCCCAGAGCTGCTTGTTTCAGACAGAGTTTTCCCAGGGTGTCCTGTTAAGCGGCTCCCACGGACTGTTTGAAGAACAGAGGTTCGGGTCCTCTTTATTCAAGATGTCTTCGGAGATGCAGAGCCTCCACAGCCACCTTCAGTCTCCGTGGTCTACTTCCTTTGTGCCTGAAAAGAGGAACAAGAATGCGACTCAGTCAACAAAGCGCAAGATACAGAGCAGCCTTTCCAACGCCAGCCCATCCAAAGCAACGAAAAGCTGACTCTCCAGAGAGATGCCCTGGTGGCTTTGTCCTGAAAGGGATGCGGTCGCTTTCAGCGTTACTGTAGTCACTTCATGAAGGTTCTATAAATCATGAACTGATAATCTTCAGTAAAGTGTCAAGTCAGAGAGGTGGGTTTACCTGTTTACAGGGTGCTTCATCTTGTAGAAACTTTGGTCTTTTAGTTGGTGATCTGTCTTAGCAGAGAGGTTAGGGGCAAGGGTTTCATTTGTCTCTGTATTGTTCATTGTTTTGTTTTAAATGAATATTATATGTATCTGGATTGACTGTATGTTGTTTTCTCATTACTTATTTAACCGTTAGATACGGTGGCCTGTTAACTGTCTTCAGAACTTGTGTTTCTTAGAAGTTTTAGTATTTTCTTTACTATTCTTTAAAGCTATTCCTAGAGTAAAATGGTTTGTATGTCCTTTTTTATTTATGTGTAGTGGTGGCCTAATTATTCTGCAAGACCATGCTGGAGAAATGGCATTCCACCCATAGAGTATTCACTGCTAACCTTTTCAGATTTTACATAGCGGTTTGCCACCTGTTTCATTGTGTTCTGTCCATTTTGTGTGTGTCTGTGCGCATGTGTGCGTGCGTGTGCAAAAATGCTCTGGAGTATGAAAGAACGTATTTTTGGTATGAAAATTCTTTTTAGGTTGTTTATATTTGTTCATCTTTGAGCGTGTCTATCTGCGTGTGTAAAGTTAGAAATTATTATGTATTGGAAGGCCGGAAGGAAGGAAGGTTGGGAGGAATTTCAACATCCTAGCTTCATTTCCCAGATGTGTAGGTAGAAAAGCAGTCTGTTAGGTTTTTGATCCATTGTGTCACAGGGGAGCCTTTTATGTGATAAAGTTCTTGTTTGCATGTTACTGCTCACTGTGGGAACTGTAAGCATGGGAGCCTTTGTGCTTGCTCCGTTCTCCACCCAGAAGAAAAAAGAAGTTCCTATTGGCTAGTAGACTACCCATTGTGTAGGACAATTGTTTTTCTTTGTGGAAAGTAACAAGTGGGAGTGGGAATATATAAGAGCTAAGCACAACCTTTAGTTTAGGCTTTAAAAGTACATTATTTTAAACATGTTTGGTATGCCCATATAGACTGTAAAACTAAGTCTGTATGCTAATAACTTATCTAATGTGCACTGAACATTTTACATGTATTGTCTTACCTTAACACTGCATGATTTTTTATGTGAATTGAATAAAGAATGCCATATGCACTATATGTCTTTGATGTCATCTCTGATAATGGATTAGTCTCTAAAGACCTAGAATACTATTTTCAATTCATTTTAAAATATAGCAGTTGACCCAACTGTGGACCTAAGGTGGTCTGTGCTTGTTTGTGTTTATAGTGCAGAGGCTGGAGCCTAGGACATTGTGGGTACCAGACCAGTGTGGCTCTGAGCTGCAGCCTAGGACATTGTGGGTACCAGACCAGTGTGGCTCAGAGCTGCAGCCTAGGACATTGTGGGTACCAGACCAGTGCAGCTCTGAGATGCAGCCTAGGGCATTGTGGGTACCATACCAGTGCGGCTCTGAGATGCAGCCTTACCTGCACCTGGTTTTGAAAGGTCTATGAACAAAAAAGAAAAACAGAAAAAAAAAAAGAAAAACGGCAACAAAACAAAAATAAGAGTTTTATAAAGTTACCACATTTTTAATTTAAAAAAAGTGCCCACACGACAAGAAAATGATCTGAAATTCCAAATGTGTTTTTAAATAAAGGCTTATTAGAACGCAGCTGCACTGTGTCTGTGCCTGCTGCTGATAGGGGAGTGGAGTACTTGCAGCCACTGTGCCTCGAGAAGCCTAAAATATGGACTGTCTGCCCTTTTCCTTAAGAATTTGCTGACCCTAGTTATAATAGACTCTGAGGATTCAACGAAACCATAAGGAACACAACAAATCACTTTTATGATGTAGAGAATCATGCTCTCCACTCTCAGAAGGAACAATAACCAAGGGGGAGAAAAGCTAACAGGGTAGTATTTGTTTTATCATACATATTTTCCAATAATTCACTTCTTTGCCATGGTAAAACTAATGGATATTTTCAGAGCTAGTGGCAGTTTAAATGTCTTTGATGATACAGTTAGCTCTACGTTTAGAATTCATGTGGAAATTAAGGGGATTTTTGTCGTGGTTAAATGTAAAAGTGCTGTAGCCTGAATGTCCCCCAAATTATATATATTGAAATCTAACCCCCAAGGTAATGATATTAAGAACTAGGACTATTGGGAAGTGATTATGCCATCACGGAGTGGTATTGATGGTTTTGCAAGCAAGGTGGAGGGTACTTGCTTGCCTGTTCTAGACATAGCTAGTAGCCACCATTTTTGCAATAAAGAACAGGCCCGTGTCAAACACTCTGATGCCTTGATTCTAATCTTCCTAGCCTACAAAACTGCAAGAAATTTCTATTTCTTTTTCTATAATCAGCCCAAATGGGCCAAGACAAAGTAACCTCACAAATTCCATAATCAAGAATGTGTCTATTTTTTTTTTTATCAATTTGCATCCCATCATTATTCCTGACATGGAAGTTGAAATTTTTAGCCTAGTTTGCCCATGACTAGCCTGGTAATGCATCCTTCTTGGACCAGGATGTTTGTTAGCTGCTTACCTTCAAAAGCATCCTTCCATCCTCCCTAAAACAGTATTCATTACATTAATGTATAATTAAAACCACTCTCTTCCTCAGCTAAAGGGGATAGATAATTATAAAAGATTTGACTTCAATCACATTCTAATCTCCCTTACTCTATCTGATTTCATAACAGGCAGCTTCACAGATTTTCAGATGTGCGTACTATGTCCCCTCCAAACGAAACACCATGAAAGGTTGTTGTCGCTTGGTGATGAAGTTCTTTTCTGGCGTGCCCTGTAGCCTGACCTGTGTTCCATTCCTAGCACTGTTAAAGTCCTATGTGGTGGAGCACACCGTTGATCCCAGTGGCTGGGACGTAAAAACTAGACCACAGTTCACCAGCAGGCGGGAGAGATGGCTTGGTGATGCAGAATGCTAGTTGCTCTTCCAGAAGATCTCGGTTCCCTTCCCAGCATCCAGGCAACTCAGGACCAGATAGCCTCTTGTGGCCTCCGAGAGCACCAGGTTTGCATGTGATGCACAAACACAGGCAAAGCAACCACACACATAAAAGTATTTTTATTTTTTTAGTTCAAAAGTCATCCTCAACTACATATCAAGTTAAAGGCAAGACTATGATACAGGAGACTCAGAGAAAACGAAAAATCCTAAAATACTTGAAGCCAAATATTAATATTTTTCTAGCCTCCATTTCATTTACCACTTTCAAAACTTCCAATTTGTGGGAAACCAGAGTGAGTGACCACACCGATAGAATGGTATGGAACCTTAGTTAGGAGCTGGATGTCCAGCTGCAGAGATTATCTCCCTTGTCCATGTTTGCATAAAAATGGGGGGGGTGAGTCTGTTTGGAATTTCACAAAGATTCTTTTTAAAGTGCCTTGGGAGGCTGGGCAATGGTGGCGCACGCCTTTAATCCCAGCACTCGGGAGGCAGAGGCAGGCGGATCTCTTTGAGTTCGAGACCAGCCTGGTCTACAGAGCTAGTTCCAGGACAGGCTCCAAAGCCACAGAGAAACCCTGTCTCGAAAAAAAAAAAAATTAAAGTGTCTTGGGAGTATTTGTGTGTTTTTAAGTAACATTCAATTCCAGCCTGTATTCCTGAATGCAGCATGTTTCCACCACTGTTCAGTTTGAAGGCTGAAGTTAGGATGTCTGGGCACAGTGGTTTAGCACACAGTGCTTTCAAGGGTTCACATTAACTGACATTTGTAGGAGCTGGACTTTCCTTCCCTATGGGCTCATTTCACTTAAGCATTCTGTGTTGGGAAAAGACAACCCTTGTCCAGATACACTTTGACACGGACAGTTCGTGTTTTTATAGGAACTGCTTTTTATTGGTAATCTTTCTAAAAAGCTGTGTCTACATAACTCTCCAAACAAGATGTTAGAGGCTTCATGTTATGACATTCTAGTCCTTGTATTTAAAAATCTGCATCCATTTAAAGGCTAAAAGTTTTACTGAATTAGCGTGCACACACACACACACACACACACACACACACACACACACCACTGAAAGTAGAGGACTAGGCTTCACAGCCCCTTGGTTTCTAATCAGCTTTGCTTTCCTCTCTTTGCCTTCTGTTGGTTGGCCTGAAACAAAGGCACCATTGAACAAGGCAAGACCTTGGTCTTAGGCTGTGTAATGTTTCAGGGCCGTATTGTTTCTGCAGACATGACAATTTCTAGTTATTAAAAATGTAACACATACAGAGGATTTTCTCCCTCATTCTGTACCTGTGGATGGTGTGTGCGGGGAGAGTCCGTTTGAAATGAACGGTTCATAGCGTGCAGCCTGTTCGACTAGAAGCTTCCCAAAGCCTCACAGAGGTCTTCCATTCCTGTCTGTGGGAGTCCTGCAAAGCAGCCCTGGCCTATCGCTGTGTAACCCGATCCCCTTAATAATACTTGGCAGAGAGAAAACCTTTTAAGCAATGATCTCAGAGTGCAGAGTGAACATTTATTGCCTAATTCTCGGAACCCTGCTCACAGCATCTATTAAGCATCTATTAAGGTGCAGATTTAAGAATCCATCTGGAGCACAGCTAGGCTGAGCCCAGTTTGGTGTGGCTGTGGCAGTCTAGAACACCTTGAGTCGCAGCACCTCTTTTTCAGATAAGGTTTTCGGTGATGACATAGAGGAGCAGGCTCTCTATTAAAGTCTCTACTGAAGGTTGGTTTGGCTTAAACTTTTGTGTAGACCTGAGAGCTTTTTGTGTTAGTTAGGGTACAAAGAGACCCATTCTCCAAAGGGCAAAGATTTGCCTCAAGCATTTATCAAAACTGTGTGAAGAGGGAAGATGGAATTTTGGTCCCATTTGATTCTTACGGCACAGGTGAATCCTGAGGACGTCTGGAAACTTCGCAGAGGTGTTTTCCCCTTAGAATCTTGAAGGGTAAATAGAGTTCTTTGCAAAAGAGGGCCTCTCTTCTGTTTGTCGGAAAGGGAAATGTTTTTTAGCAGCTTTCTTGGAAGAGGTACTGGAGGCCAGGCTCCGAAAGGCAGAGGGCTTCCGGTATTGCTCCAGCCACAGCTTTGCTCCTCCTCCTTTCAGAATCCCCCGGAGTCTCTGGGTTTCGCTCCAGCCGCCTGAAGCGGCGGCCTGGTGACGAGACAGCGGCTCCCTAGGCGCTGGAGCGCTTTGGAGATGGCGGGGCGGGCCATGAGCTGTCCATTAAGCCGAAGCTTGGCCCTCTGAGGGCTTGGAGAAAGTCAACGTCGTGTTTAGGGTGTGGAGGTGGGGTCTGGCCCACCCGTAGCAGCTCAGTCCCTTTTCCCACCACTCCTCCCCGGGAACTCAGCCATTTGGGATTCCTGCCAGCTTCCCCCTCTGCCCAGGCCCTCCCCTTCCCAGTCACTGGGGAGGACCCACCCGCCTCAGGTCCCTCCAGCCCAAGTTTCCCGCGTTCTTGAGGGCGCTCTTACTTAGCTGGTCCTTCCCAGGCCGCATTCCGCTAGCCCGGTCTGTGGTTTCCTTTCATTTTATTATCACTTTCGAAACCTGGCGATTAAGACGCGAAACCAACAAAGAGTTTTCTTTCCACCTTAACCTTGCACACAATCCTTTAACAAATTAATTAATCCTAATGAATTAACACTTCATTTATTTAAACGCGCTACAGTCCATGAATTAAATTTTCATGCAGTGATTAAAGGCTGTTAAAATATGCATGATTTCGTTAAAATTTTATAATAAATCAGGGCAATGTGTTACATGACAAGGCAACTATTTCCCAGTCTTTCGCAAGGGGCTTTGATTTGTGCGGGCGGCGGGAAGGAGGGGCAGTTGGCGGCAGCGCGGCGAGCGGTAGAGCCGGGCGGCAGGACCCAGCTCTGTTCTCCCTAGCTTGGAATGGCAGCCTCGCGCTTCTCTCCGCGGCTTCCAGACCCTCGAGGGATCCAGCTCCTGGAGGCCGATAGGAGCCTGCGGAGGTCGGCGAGCTCGCCTTTCTCCATCCTCAGAAGGTCTCTTGGGTGGAACTGCTGGTCCTCGCCGGTAGCGCGCCCCGAAAGCAGGGGGAGTGTGTGTCCGGGACCTAGCGACTGATCAGCGGGTATCTGATACAGGAAGGCGACGGCACTTGCACCGTGTCGCGTGGGGTCAGGGGCCA